TGCCACTACTACCCTCCGCCAAGCTTTCCTGTAAACAACAAGCACAAAATGGCTCTCAATAAAGGGGAGGCACGAAGTCACTGTTTGATTCTGGAGGAGGACAAATTGTGGATAGTGTTGTGCATCCTCCTCAAGTCTCACATCCTCTCCCTTCAATGATCCATTCATTTTGATGTATTTTCCATCAAAATTTGCGTGGATTTGACAGTGAGATTAACTGTCAGTGCCAATGTCATTTAAGGAATTGGGGAAATTGCTCCATGATCCACAATGTTGACCGGATTGCACACGTAAGATATTTGGTGGTGTTGAACCTCCATCAATGCAAGCGGCACACTGGATTTCAGCTTCCTTGTCGATTCGCATTATTACTTCGCGATGCACTGACGTGTTGCATGCAAATGTGGCGCTTCATATGACACATTCGGAGCTGTGCGTGACTGTCTGCACATGGGTAGTATTATGGGAGGGGTGGTCTGTCATTCGACACACCCGATTCTACGGTGCATGGCAGCAAGTACGGTGCAGTGGGTCCATCTCAGGCAGACACCTGGCTGAATTAACCATGATTACCTGCCTACATCCAGTCTTGGCATTCTACTTCTGATAGTCTGCTTTGAGTTGTTATAAGTCAGGGTGATTCAGCTCTATTTCATAATAGCGCACAACGCGAAAGCAGTTTTAGAACCGACACACTTTAAGCTGCAGTGGTGTGAGTTTCGCAAGAAGGTGAGACGCCGTGCCCAGACGAATATCTCACTTCTCCAACGCGATACTCGCCTCTGCTCCTTGCACACTGCTAACAGAAGAGGAGCCAGTGTTGGACCACCTTAATGAAAATGCTGTGGCATGGAAACCACCACTGTCAAATAGCACTACGTTGGAATTCAGCAAAACCTGCCACAGTTCTATTTTTCTTCTCTTGTCAACAGAATTCTGGTGGAATATTTTGTACTTAGGCCACGATCAGCACATGTTTTGCGCAATACTTCTGCCATGGTAAAACAGAAGAGGTCAAGCACGAGCCTCCACACTGCTACTCATTGAAGCGCGACTAGAGAACATCCATTGTGGTGCTCCTGTACCACTCACCCATTTCACAGCCATTTGTACTTAAGTCTAAGAGCATCACCATCGATTTCGTCTCCACGACGCAATTCATCGCATTATTCATCGGCCTGATATTGAGGACGCATTATCACGATTTGTCTGCATGATAAACGGCTGACTGCCCTGACTCTGCTAAAGTCTTGCGTTAAAACTTGGTGAAGTATGTTCTGGTAATAACATATCCACGTCTTTCTAACCCTGAAAAAGTGTAAGAGGGTTGGCTTGACCTCCTTTTCTAGCTTGTTACAACGCTGTTTACTTGTAAAAAATCATTCAAGCATCGGGATGCACTTGCTGATAAGTTGGAGGATTGCAGTGACGGCGTATGCATCGTTTATTCATTAAGAAATTACCTCCCAATTTATTCCCTCGTTCCGTTTGCAATTGCGTGCAAGGATGAATATCTGCATCCCCACACGTAGAAGTCGAGTGGTAAATTGTGGATTGCCTTTACATCTGATCCAATACTAGTCTATTCCAGCATCTACAAATTGATCGAGAATCAGGCACCAATCTACTCCATCTTAGTGTAGCAGACGTATTCAAGCAATCAAATGTGATGGACCAGCTCTCCCAGCCAATTATTATGGCTCACTATGTAATTTGATCTTTGATTTTGAGATAGGAGTGCCTTTTTGATACCTTATCACCGTACACGGAAGTAGCAACTAACTAGCCTACTTACCCTTCAGTTCTCTACCTCTCCACAACCCCAGTTGCCTAGAGATCTACCAAACTTCCTCCTAGAATATCCAACTGCCTACCTACTTCATCTACCTTCTAACACTCACTATAATCCTAGTTCTTTAGCCAACCACCTAGTTTTGTAGTTCAACCTTTCTACCCAACTTATTACAGCATTATCTAGCTCCCTACCTTGCATTATCAACAGGTCTCCAGCTTCCTTAAAAATACCTCACCTGATTTCGCGTTGGCCATTTCTCTTCCAATCCGTTTGCCCACCAGTCAAACCCACCTCTTTGCTACATCTCCAATGCCCAATCTCTCTACAGCGCTAAATCGCTCCCTGTCTCCCTCCATTTTCCCCTTTTTCCAATCCACTACCACTCAAAAGCTCCACTTGCCTACCCACCTGCCTCAATTACCTTAAAGTTATCTACTTACCTCCAACCTACGTCAGTCCTAATCTACTTCCTCAGCGACGTAGCAAAATACCAAGCAGAAAAGTTTCTCCATTGGAAATAATTTTATTGTTCCATTATCATGCAAGTGCAATGAATAAAAGCACTACGCTCTCGAAACAGCACGCAATTTGCAATGGAATTCACTGGCCATTTTCTCCAGTTACCAACAGGCAAGGTGGCCATGCTGCCAAGTTCATCATAATGCTGCCAATGTTAGGTTCCCCATTCTCATCTTCTCCTCCACCAAATCCTTAATTCAAACAGTGAACAACTATGTTCACACGAGAAAACGACTACTGGGGATCATTCAGTAGTGTCACTATTCTACTGCAAAATTGCAGGAAATACTAAGCTCGCTCTGCCATTGGCCGGAAGGCAATCCACTTGGAGTTGTTTGGTCAAGACACCACACTTCGTTAGACCTTGGACCTAATTCAAATACTAAGGTCTTTTTTGACAGCCAATGCCATCCACATCAACAACCCGCACGACATCATATGGAGTAGCAGACGTGCATTATATAGGGGCAACGAAACAGCACGTCGACTCACACAATGACTGTGAGGTGAATCTTCCAACTAGCGGGTACCCACCACGGTGTCTGCCAATTAATTTAGGGTGTAGGTGACCCGGATTAATGTGACAATCTCCAAGCAATAATTTTGGTAGTGATTGAGTGAGTCAGTGAGGTGGCAGGACAGGTAACATGCTGTGCGGCATTTCGCCACCTCGAACAATTCAAAAGCGATTAAAATTAATTGAACTTACCCCATGAGACAAGAGCGATGCGCCCAAAACTTCACTTAATTCGACTTAAACAGTCTATTGTTATATGTCGGCGACGACGGCCATAAGGAGCATGGTCTTACGTAAGAATCGCCTTACACCTGCACTGAAGCGAACCATCAGCCAAGATGGAATGCTCATTAATGATAGTACTGAATAGTGGATTGTGTGGAGAAGACGATGTGTGATTTGGGCTTGGGTTGGGTTGGGTAGGGTAGGGCACAAGTGCTGATGGCGAGACAGTGTTCATGGGTGGATTGAAGTATACGCTGAATGTGGATGTGAGCGTAGGCAATTGATGGAGTCGCGTTATCTGCTCTTTCTGGTGAGATGATAGCTAACGCGTGAAGAGTGAGCTCTCTGACATCGACTTTCACGTCGCGGCTATGACAGATGACAGGCTATTATCGGTGGTAAGATTGTAGGCTGCAGTACTGGGTAGCGAGAGGAGATAAACTGCTCCGTTGTCTGCATTTGCCCATCATTACTTCAACAATGCAGATGTGTTTGGAGACATCTGTGTGGCCGAATTCGTACGGTAGTCTCAAAACTTCAACTGGGTATCGCTTTAAGACCAATTCAATGCATCACAGTATGCAGATATTTACAACCGCGGCTTTCAAAAGTAATCTAATAATTTAACCGCAAACCCGGTTTCAACTGATTTGACACACATACTCGACACAGTAAATACAATAATGAAAAATTTAGAAAACGAACCCGTGACAACTCTTTTTAGTAGGCAAAAAAATAAATATTCAGTGATTGCAACAAAAAATACACATTACCAATCACCAGTTTGTGGTATCCTTTCCCTTCCACGATAGTCTCATCACAATTTACTACCTTGACCTCGCATAGCATTACAAATGCCGCGTATTTAAGATAGCTCCGACTTTGTCTCAACTTTATGTGGTTCCAGTCGCCTGGATGTGTTGCCGGTGCACAGTTAAAAGCATCATTTTGAATCTAGCATAATGTCATTTTTTGCATTTTAGAGCACAATGATAGTGATGAAAGCGGCGTGGTATTCGGAGGCAGTATTAATAAATAGCTTCTATGTAAAACTGAAGACAAATCGCCATTTGTATGTGCTTTGCAATTTGAGGGCAATGTAAATTAGTTACAAAGGCGTTCTAGCAAATAGACTGCCAGATCGTCAGTGTCAATAATTCCTTACCGTTCTGCTGCAATTTGCTATCATTCTTTGTATGCGTGCTTGCTTTTACAGTCCTCCAATCAACTTTTCTAAGTAGGGTCCTTGTCGACGTCATTGCGAATCCTTTACACGCACGCGCTGCATTGCAGCTTCAAGGAGCAACTCATCACTACATAATTGTTTCTGCGTGCCTTTCCACTCTTGTCACC